CTACTACTACTACTACTACTACTACTACTACTACTACTACTACTACTTGACTGGATTCTTAATTGACACGGTTTCGCCTATTTGAGATTGGAGTGTTTGAAGCTTCGATACGATACATACTTGCGGATTGCTCAAGAGTGCAGGCAGTTGACATAACGCAACATTGCGGGCTTAGTAGTGGATTTATACTAAAGGCTGTAGCAAACTAAGAACCTCTACCACATCCTAGGAACAAAATCTGCAGCCCAGCCCCATTGGTGTTTTTGGGACCCCCCTGAAAAGGTGTTGTTGTTTGTAACCCCTCCTTGAAGCAAAGACTGCAGGCCCGTTGCTGATTTTTTGGACCTCCAGACCAACTTTAAAACACTAAAACCGGACCAGCCCAGACTTCAGTAGTCCCACAAGTCCAGCTACTTACGAAACCAACATTCCCTGAAACCTTCAACCGTATCCCTAACCTTTCTCCCTTAAAGTTCCAGAGTAACAACATGTGACAACTATGCTGGGCGGCTGTTTTTGTTTCTACAAACAACAACAACAACAACAACAACAACAACAACAACAACAACGACAACGACAACGACAACGACAACGACAACGACAACAACACGACAACGACAACGACAACGACAAGAAACAGCTGAAGGAATAAATACAGCCAAACGGTTTCTCAGGTTCACTTTCACAACTTGTCAATGGAGGTTTATACCGAATCCCGATCCGCATCCTGGCTCCATGTGTGTCAACGCTCGAGAGTTCGGAATGGCATTGTTGTTCATATATATATATAGTTTGCAAAGGGGAGTCGAGTCGAGTTTACTTGCTGTCATGCACAGACTGTGATCAATAAACTCCCAAGCTTGAATAGGTGTTTAATCCAAATGGTGGGTTTTACATTGTTGTTAATCATCTGATCTGATTTGATCAAAACACCGTCACAGTCACAGTCGTCAATGCGATTTTGACACTCAAAACTGGACAACTGGGCGGATGGACCATACGATTTTTTCTTGCAAAGCACCGAGATGGGGGAAGACCTTCGGACTATGACATACGGAGTTACCTTTGGAGAGCCTTCAGGTGAGGGTTTCGTCCACCAACACAGAGTATCTGAAAAAGAACTTGTGCCCAATCCGGAAGAATCGTTTAAATTGAATTACACAAACTGTCTACATACTAGTAGTTGATTTTTCTACATAGGAGGTGTTCTTTCTACAAAGGAGGTTGGGAGTATTTACCTCTTTGCTTCACACTTGTGCACCAACTCCAGTGCTGCCCAGTGAACCTTTCAACCCATACCCCCAAAGCCAAGATCCAGATCCAAACCAGGTGTCGATTGGGGACCCTAATATTTAGTGCACTCAAACCGCTGCATACCGTATATACGGCTTATAAGTTGTTGATTCACCTGGGGGTGTCCCAAGCAGTATAGTAAAGGTCATTTGATATCATTTGTGACCCGGACTAGTTTGGTCGTTCGCTCCAAGATTCGACCCGGTGGATACTGTAGAGTCTTCTCTCAGGATCGACCCACTTCGCCCCTGGACTGTGGGACTGTGGTGCCAGAAGGCCAAGCCCAACCATCAAGCACTTCACACTTTTTGTTGCTCCCCATCATCGCATGCTGAGAGTTGAGCAACCCCACATGGTCACATCCCAAATACCTTTCAGTGTCTTTCGAGCGACATAGTCGTTTTGGACGCACTCTTCCTGGAGGGTTTTCTCCTGCCGCACCAGGACTTGGTCACTCCTCAGCGTTGGCCGTCGCGGGAGAACGCTCCGCGGTGGGACGGTCTGATGAGCCAGTGCGGGTGCGGCCGAGACGGGACGTGAACAAACCTCATGTGGTGCAACAACGGGTACTGAGGTGAGTCCAAGAGTCCGGGAGTCCGTGCAAAACCAACTAGATATCCCAAATATTTGGAAGTCCTGCTCACAGTTGCAACTGACTTTGCTATGTGGCTTTGTTCATGTTTCAGGTGCACGAAGATGTCTAAATCAGTGTAAAACATACTGAACAGAGCAGCCGAAAACTGAACGGGTGGTGTAAACTGAACGGCAGAACAAACACAGCAGCCGAACGTTGGATCCGGATCGTTCAAGGTCCATACGTTGCGTCTTGTGCCACCCCAAAATCCTTCGGCTTCGAACAACATACACATCGCCGCACAGACGCAGTCGGTAGGTTGCCCCTTTTCGGAGTCGGTTCGGGTTGGGAGCACAGTTGGTGTTCGGGTGGGCACCTGCCTGAGATGTGATTGTCACCGTATTGTCAAGCATTCCCAAGCTATCCAAGCTTTGTGGTTGACACATTGTTGGCATGTCCGTTTGCAATGCCTGCCAGTCTACTCAGTCTAAGCCACGCAATGGCCATGCAAGTGTCCACCTCCCAAACACTGACCAAGCCTGTGACATTTTGGAGATGGCTCCCCCAAAAAGGGGCCATCTCCAACTCCCTTGTCAGTGTCAAGCAAAACTCGTCATGGCCCGATGCACGTCCCTGATCAACAGCTTCAAGTGTCGCTTCCTCCGAGAGCTTGCCGCAGCAGTTGTAGAGCCAGGACTCAGGGCCCTGCCGAGTTTCTCGCGTATAACGCCGCGTGATTACGGCCGCGTTGGTCGTGTAACCCGGCATCAGACCGGTCGGCCGAGGTGGCGCCCATTTCTCGGTGTTTCTTTTCCACGAGAACGAAGCAAAGATTCTCCAAAGACACAGAACGACATGGCTCAGCATGGCTCCGACTGGGAGAAAAACTCCTACTCGCTTGCGGTGGACGAATCGTGAGTCCGTGGAGTGACCTGGTCGCGAGTAGCGAGTCGCAAAGAGAAAAGGCTTAAGAGATGTCCGCATGTCCGCTGGCTCAATGCTCAACATAATAAACGTTTTTGAGTGCCGATCAGTTTTGAGACGCGCGATTTTGGTATGTGTTCCAGGCACCAAGTAGATGACATAACTGATTATAGACCCAGACCCTGAGTGACCTTTGTAATGGACCAGCCATTACCCAAAATACCGGCCATTTCAAAACAAACGTCAATATTGGGCTCTATAGGTTATGTTGCTATGCCGCAATGCCTCATATTTCTCACATGGTCCGTCCGTCTCTCTGGGCCCAATCCAAGGGACATCTTGTGTCTCACCATGTTTGTCTCACAGTTGAGGGCAAACGACTGGATGTCATGTACCACTAGACACAGGGGTGATGTGTTTTTCTGTTTTTCACGTCTCCACTTCGACAGGATCGACTTCCTGTCGAGAGAGGTCGATTTGGCCTCCAAATGGCGATGGCCATAACATTTGTCTGAGAACATAAATACTCAAAACAACTGGGAGAACAATACCAACATGACCAAAACCTATCCTTTTTGTTGCATCCTGTGTGTTTCTCGTAGGTCCTACCTGGCCAAACCAGTGAGAATAGCGTCCATATAAGTATAGCTCAAATGTCATCAGTCCAGTCCAATGAAACCACCCTGTCACATCTCGGACGAGCTTGGCCTCCCCTTTCTTGCCTGCTGCTTCTCTCCTGTGATGCAGAGACGAAAACCGTGCAGAACTCGAACGGAACGGCGTTCGTGTCGGCAAGCGTCTGAGCCGGGTACGGAACTACGCGGAAAACCGTCGCGTTGAAACGCTTCGAAGCAGGAGCTGGGGCGCCACTGGACCATCTGGACCTGGTTTTGGACCTTCCAGATGGAAAGTGTATACGCTGACACACTCACATGGACAATGGAAGTGGATGGCATAAACAAGACAACATCTATGAACAGGGGGCCCCAACTCGATGAACCCATCTACAATGTTCATGGTGTGTTCCACGACCTCGCAAAGCCGGGGGCCAAAGAACCCCTAAGGATAGCGCGCACCTCACAAGTAAAGCATGGTAACGTCCACCATCGATAGCCATGCGATAGCCATGCAAAAGAAGTCGGCGATTGCATGCAATGGCTCGGTTCTTTCTTTCTTGGAATCCGTCTGTTTCCCCTACCCATCCAGCAGGACCCTGGACCCTCCAAACTGGAGGGCGTTGATTGGACCCTGCCACTGGGTGCGCCCCCTCTAGTCCGACTGTGGCAAACGGTGACGGCACGCTAGGCCGGGTCCGTCGCTTCGCCAAGGCACAGTGCGGGCTCGTCGCTCTTATGCGCTTCGAAGAGATCCTTGGGTCGAATCCGCCGCAAGAGGCCGCCAACGAGACGGGATGGCGTCGTCCAAAACATGTGTGGAATCGTGCTAAAAAACGGCTCAAGCTGCCTCCTGATTTCAGTTTGTTGTTACCTCATCACCTGACACACCCAGTCTCTGTGGTTCAATTCCGCGTTTAGATCACCGGGAGTTTGTCTGAGCTCATACCAAGGCGAACAAATCAATCATCTACTGCTGATGCACCTAAAACAACCAACAGCTGGTAACATCGGGCACTCTCTCTCTATATATATATAAACACCAAACTCAGAATAATGTCTTATTGTCTCCAAACCTTTCCAATCCTAATCAAATCTGAAGAGCGTCCCTCGACTCAACCATCCGGGATGTTCACTCTTCCGAATCAACGACCCAAGGTGAGGCGACCAGTCCTCACCCCTCGCCACCGGTCCTCACCGCTCTCACCGTGTTCTCCAAGGCACGAAGGGCATGAAGGGTGGCGTCAAGGTGCGCCAGCCTGGGAAGCCGAAGAAGTGGATGGCCGGCACGGCGAAGGAGTTCCTGATGTGGAGACCAGCGGAGAGAGATGTTGCTGATTCAATGCGGAGAAGTGGTGGGTGACGTAGGGTGCCCGGATGACCAGCTAGAGGATGGTGGCCAGGATGATGGCCAGGATCAAGTGGTGGGGAAGGAGATACCAAAATATAGGTGATTTGATCCTCTCATTCTGAGTGGGACCAATAGCCCGCAAGGATCTGTTGATATTAAACAAACTTGGAGCGTGATGTGGCTCAGAACGAAGTAGGGGCAGCTGTGACTATTCCACAACGCAGCATGCAACACTGCTAGCCTACTTTCTTACTGTTTCAAGCAGCTCTATAGCAGCTACTGTATATAGGGGGTCATCGATTCATGCAAACGGCTGTCATGGCTCAGGATGTACAAAAGCCCAAACATAAATCAAGGAAATATATGTAGGTGACACGTGGCCCAGGAATTTAATGCTTTCCACTGTAGGCTTCTGAGCATCATGCCACTGTGGGCAGGGCTTGCGGCCTTGCCACCCTTTGTCGGCCCCGACGGGGGCCACCAGGCCAGTGTGTCAAACCTCCGATGGATCCCATCACCGCGAAGCCCCCTTCGTCCATGAGGCGGATCGCTAAACATGCTGCTATTGTGATCCATCTTCGCCGGTGTCACCAGGAGCTTGCGCGAGCGGCACACGCCGAACAACGTCTTGGAGTGTTCCACAGGGATCAGGCTGTCGCTGGCCTCGGGCGAGCGGTCGGTCCCCTTCGAGTAGCGTCGGGCAGGCGGACGAGAAGCGACCCGTTTTTGTCGACCTACAGGGTGTCCTGTCAACCAAGGGAAAATCAGGGTTGGTGCACGTATATCTATAGACAGGTATGGGGAAAGTGACAACTCCAAAAGCGCGCTTGGCTTAACAACAGGAGTTTTTTGACCTGCCGGACATGACCCCACGCACCCTGATGGTGGGGAGACCCCAGAAGTCCTGGCGTCCAAGTCACCCCGTGGATGAAAAGCACTGGGCAAGAGACATTCACGATCCTGGCGCGGCTCTTGCGTGATGATTTGCAAATGCACCACATTGAAGTGACATCTGGCCTTTAGGGAAAGCGTAGGCTGGGAATGGGCTTAGCATTGATACCCTGGGTGTTTTCAGAACAACAACGCATAACAACGCTTAAAGAACCTCGGGCATGATTCTTGTGTGATTGATGGCTACTGGGGCCTCGAGGTTTCAAGCAGAAACCACCGAGTCTCGTAGCTACTCGTGCATGTCCCTGGTGGGTCTGGTGGGACTTGACCGAAGACAATGGGGGAATGGCCACTGAAGGAATGGCGGGAGAAGCCACTCCGAGATAGAAAGCCACTGGGGGAGAAGCCATTGGCACTGGGAGAAGCCGATGGCTTCTTGAAATGTGCTGATGGTAGATTCTGTGGGTCAGAAACCGTCGACAAAGGTTTCAACATCCGGGAGGGTGTTTCCACGGAACCACGACAGTCGGTAGATTGGTAGATAGTTGAGACCTTCTCCCTGCATTGAACAAAACAAATGATTTTGGTTCAAGCATCGGCAAACAAAGCCAAATACCAGACTTTTGGGGTGAGAGACACACCAGAGTGTGACATTTGGCCACCAAATCTGTGGCGGTTCGGGGAAAGCCGAATCCATCGCAGTATCATCGGCTTTGCAGCTTGCTCCTTTCTAGGGATCCACTGCCTCGAATCCTGTCGCAAGTCTGTGACCCCCTGTGAAGTTGTTGAAGGCGGGTCAAACTAGCCCTTGAGGATGTACAAGAAGGATCCAAACCCTGTTGTTGATTAAGAAGGATGCTCTCAGCGTTTCATCTCTGCAGATCTCTTGGCTTTCGCTGCCCAGCCCTTTCCCCCTTTTCCTCCGGTGGTTCTGGAAGACATTGCTAAACATGAAAGCCACCTGGGATCAGCCGTGCACAACGGAAGGCCCGAGGTGTTGAACGGAAAGGCCCGCGAGCAGCAACCGATTGAAGCAATCCCGACAAACCGGACCGGACCGGTTGAACCATGCGTCCTCAGGGCTTGGTTTCGAGAGTCTACCTGAAAGAAAGATGGGCTGAGTCGACCGTAAACAAATATGAAGCAAGTGGATGCCTATAGTGGTGGCCTTTAAGTATTTTCCATTGGCAACTCCTTTCTTGGCTCCGCTCTTTGCCAGCTCCCGATCACATCCTGAGCAGAAACTATATCCCAGCTCCATGGGACTGGCATAGATGTCTACATTGGGGTGGTTGAACAGGGGTCAATGTAGGCATATTACTTGCACGGAGTGTCTGGGTCCGGGTATAGTATACAGTAACAGTATATACATATGATGGAACTCTCTGATACACTTACCTTTCCGAAAGATATATATATATATATACATCGAATCCTTTAGCATGCTTCATAGCAAGCTAAATAAGCCAACAACCTGCTGCATATCCATTTAACCACCTAGTCCGAAGCTACGAAAACACGCGCGCGGTTTCCGCCCCGTGTGCCGTTTTCATCCAAGCAACCAGGCGCCCGCCGATGTGTCGGGCAGCTGCTCGGATGGAGATGAAGGGCGAAACCAAGATCATGCCGCCCAAGGGATACCTGGGAGCGCTGGTAGCAAGCCGGGGTGGTGCTGGTGGCCATATCCATCCATATCGGTACTTGGTTTCGCAGGCATTACCGAAGTGCCAGGTGTGAAAAGGCTTTGACAACTATGGGATCTTCTGGGTAGGGTCATTACCAGGTGCTGTGAGTTTACGAAGTCTTGACACACCCCTCAATGGACCACACCATTAAATCATTAGCCACGACCATATTTAGAAAGCTTCAAAATCACAGGAGCTTTTCTCTCTCTCTCCCGACAATACGCTCCTATCCCAACACTTAATGTGAGGGCATGAATAGCTCCTCCCCTGAAGGTAAAGAAGGTTTTGGGCCAACTCATGTCAATGTGGCTATCCAAGACTCATGGAGAGGGATTCCAATGAAAACCCTTTTTTCATGAGCAACTGCCACGCGAGCCAAAGCATGAGCAACAAATTTTGTAGGTTTGGGAGGGGGTTTGGGAGGGGGGAGGGAGCAGCATAGCATGAAGGAATAGGACAATCCAAAATAGTATAAGGAGCCAAACGAATGAAACAAAGTCTGGAGGCATCGCAGGTTGTTGACAGTTAGACGTGACAACTTGCACACAAGGTCAAAGAAGGGTCTTGAATAATTCCAGCGATCGGCCGAATCGCACTTTTGGTTGATATTTGCCTTCTCTGTCCATGACTGTGTGGCGACTAACCAGTGCTCTAACCGGTGCTGCCGAGGTGCTGGGAGGCCAGGAAGATCGCTGGGCCGCTGCCTAAGGAGCGCCCAAAGACGATCACTGAGGAGTACGAGACGCGTAGCTCGTCCACCAGATATCCTCGGAGCGAGAGGAAGCCACAAAGGAAGACGGCGATCATATAGGGCGTCTCGATCACCATTCCGTGAACATCCGTGAACAGCCAACGCTGAGGACTTGAGGTGCTGTGGTTGGCAAGAAAAGAAGCCCTAGGACTTGAATGCAGAAAATGGATGAACAATCATAGGACTTCCTACTTGGAAGTGAGTGAAAGTGTGGAGTTGGTGCCTTGAGGATCTTCCAATTGCCCAGGTCACATGTCCCAGTCCAGGCAAGATCACGTAAGGTTCCCACGGCATCAGCGAGCAGCACATGTGATGGACATGTCCAAATCAACTGCTTGTCTTTATGCATTTTTGCAACACTATCACGCTGTAAATCTGCTACTGCAATTACAGCTATAATTGTCTATCATGTTGGCTATCAAGACTTCATGACGGTGTTGTAGGGGGATGTAGGGGGCAGGAAGGTCAAAAGATCGATCAATGAATGGCAATGAACCGCACTAAAAAACCTTTTGGGACCTCTATAATTATATAAAGCCATGAACTGTTAAAGCAATAGATTCTAAGTAGCCTAAGCCTAGCCTGTGTTGTTTCGCTTGATCCCCACGTAGCCATATGTATAGCCTGTGCTGCTTGCAGAATTCATGCTGTTTTCACACATGTTCCCGTCAACCATCGATCACCCCTGGAGGCCCACCCATCGACAATCCAGGCGTCTAAAGACTGTCAAGGCCACTTCGAAAATGGTCTGGCCACTTCGCAAGATGGTGTGGCTTCGATGATATGTCATGACTCACGCAAGGAGTGATATGGATTTGTCTTCCACAACATCTTCAGGGTGCTTTTCATGCTTTTAGTGAATTTTGGTGAATTTCAGTTTCCTAGAGATCCAATGCACTGGATTGGATCCTTTTCTCGTCAGTACTTTTCAATAGATTGGACACCCACACGTGCAAGAAGTACTTCCACTAGTTGCAATGATACTGACTGAGTCCTCTGAGGCTTTACTTGGGGGAGCGGTGCAAAAACACCCCACTCTGGTGGCACTAGCTTAGCAGTTCCGGTATCTTGATCCGATCAATCAAAACTGTGTGGCTTTATATGGACATCTTTTGAAGTTTGAAAAGGGTAGCTTTTCTAGTAGGATTCAAGTCCAGCTACCTCTCTGTTCAAATGCCCAGTCCACCGGGCCCTAGAGATGATTCGGAGATGGTTCATGCAGCAAAACAGGGCAGCCTTGTCGAACAAACAAAGAGGAAAACGTAAATCACTCTGCCCTATCCTCCCTTATCTGGAGCAGCGCATGCAGGTTCAAACATGTATGAAACATGTATCTCATAGCTGCCCAAATCATCGTTAGACGGTTTCCGACACCCACCGACTTCATTCAAAAACCACACCATTGCTTTGAACAGGGCCAAAAAAAAGCCCAATCCTTGGACCATTAAATACAAGGAAACAACAATCCTCGGATTCCAAGCGGATCACCGCCAATTTAGGCCCTCGTTGTGATTCTTTCCGTGGTGCCTCTTCATTGGGCTCGATGCCCTGTAGAAGGCCATAGCCCGGATACTCAATTGAGATGACATTCACCTCAGCACTCTCATCAGGTGCGTGGATTGACGCACCGCCGTCACCATAGGCATCACCGGTCCGCGAGTTCTTGATTTCATGCATCGCGACGTCGGGCGTTCGAAGAACCGGGGTGGAGGCCCGGGTTCTGCACCAAAATGGACCTCCCACCTTCTTCCCAACCTGCTAACCCCTGTGGGGGGCAGTGACAACACTCACAGCCCCGATTTCCCTCCTGACCACAGAAGCCACATGTTGCTTCGCTGCGCCATGTCGCTTCGATTCTCCCGAGTGGGTGACCCGGTGGTCTTTGGGATTCGAAAGCGAGTTTCGTCTTCAGGCCTCTTCAGGCGTGACCCGGTCTTCAACAGCAGTGACCTCCATGATTTTCTCTACATTTGAGTGACACACCAAGAGTTCCAAGGCTCCAAAGGGCTCAAAAGCTATGAGGGAGTGCCCTGCAAGAATTCAAAAAAGCGTGCTCTGCTACCGTCTTAAGGTGTTCAGTTTTAAGTGACCATTAATCTATACTATGTAATAATTATGTAATCTATGCACACAGCTCAACTTGTTTGGCACAAACAGCAGTGGCGGCCAGAGGCTATTTTAGCACTCTTTGATTTCATTGCACCACATACACGTGGACGGCCATGGCCCCAACGGATGACACAACTTTCCTCCACAAAACAGGTATACTGCCATCCACGTGGTGCCCATGAGATTTATTCGGAGAGTAGGCTCGATCTATCCTTGCCCTCGGAAGATCTCGGGTAGCGGGGGCCGGGGGGGGGGCAGCCGAACACCGGAGGGCAAACGGTCGAGTTTTCACGGTGTCGACCTGACTTTTGTTCCGATCGATTGAGAACTTCAGAACTTTGGAACTTGGACTTCAGCCACTCACAATGCGAGCCCCCCCAAAAAAAACGGTTCTTCTTTCTACTGGGCGACCGAGTCTGCTATGCTACAAAATGTTACATGTTACAAATCGGCCAAAGCGCACGACTATCACCCATCCGTGCATCGGCAGTGAGAACCAAATATTGAATATATATATATATAATATAATATATATATATATGTCACCCTCTCTTTCCTCAGAAATCCACCCTGCACCCGAGTCCACACGCCTTGAATTGGTCCCGCATGTGCTTCACAAAGTGAAAAGCGGTGCCGATGTCCTCCGAGTTCGCATGGAAGTACCTGGTACCGTGAGATTGGGCGCGGCCGGAGGTCGGAACGGTAACGGTCGGAAATCCGGTCGAAAAAGACGATTTGGCGCACGTTTTAGGGGGAACCTGTTGTGATGATGTTTGTGCGAAGCGGAGTTTCTAGTGGAATTTTGCATGAAGGTTGAACTTCAGATTGAAGACACTTGAGCTCGTGAGAAGGGTCATGTTGCTCAAGTCCTTCAAGCGCGGTGGATGCGGAAAACAGTCAACCTGACTTGACTGTCGTTTGTTCTTGTTCATTGAAACGTGTTGCTCGAAGTCTGCTAAATTATATAAATAGTTCAAACATGATGTGTGTTTAATAAATTGTAGATATATAGTAAAGATTGATCAATTTGTTGCAGTAGTTGATCCTGCTGCTGTTGAACTTCTTGACACAGGGCCTGTAATGGACATGTTTTGAAGAGTTTGCAGAGTCGCCTGGGATGTTTCGTTCATCGAACTTGTCGATGGTTGCAGCAAGTTCTCAGTGCGAGTTGAGTTTAGGAATTTATAGGCATGGCTGCTAGCTCAAGCATAGCTTTTAAGGGGACTGTGGATGCTTGCTTTCTTAACTTATCATGACATAGGAGGTCGGAGCAGTCTGTAAAGATGGATGCACTTGATTCATGGTAATCATCCAGGGTATGCGAAGGCAAGCTCTGCACAATCTATGGTCTGTTTGCCTTGACAACGAGATTCCTTGCACACCTGAACATGATCTTTGGAAAAGTCCGGTTCGTCAACTGTCTCGGGCAAAAATTGCATGACCAGACTGCTCTGTGAGATATTGGAGTGAGAGGTGTGTCAGCAGAGCAATCTGCATAAAACGAGAGGATGTGAAGAGGCCTTTGTAGAGATAGATAGTCTGCCCCCACGAAAAATCCTGGAATCGTTCCGGGGGAAACCAAAATCGTTTCAACAAAGCTCATCGTTCCAACAAAATCCAAAAGGGGTTTCCAGCAACGCAAAAGACATCGAAGCAATCCCTTTTGATGGAGAAGTCATCATGCACTCATGCAGTCATGCGCCCTATTGAATCTGATAACACATGTAGGCAGCAACCCTACCGTGACTGATAGGCTATGGACAACTTCCTTCTGATTCCAAAATTTCAACCCACCTTACATTAACTAACATAATAACAATCCTTAAAATAAGCCAACAAATGATTAAGGAGCGTCAGCGTAAGAATATATGTAAGACTCCTTAAAAGCCAACACGCCATCAAACACTAACTACTTCATACTACTTTGCACAGAATCCAGGTGCTTTCGTTAGCGCTGGAGACATCTGGAGGAGGTCGCCGCCTCTTCCCACGCCGAAAGCCTCCCGAAATCCTCGCTTCCAAGGCACATGACCACCGTCGCCGCTTTCGGCGCCGGGAACCACAGGCACGGCACCCCCGGGCCCGTGCGTTCTGGCGGCGAAGAATCGCTTCGAACGAAATCCTTCTAAATCTTCTGCGTTCAAAGGCCAATTCAAAGGCCATTGATTGGATTGAATTTTAGAAAACATCCTTCAAAATCCTTTCTTCGGTGTCATGAATTATATGAAGGATGTTTCTGGAAGAGAATCATACGAAAGAAAGGCAGCGAACAAAGTGTTTGTGAAAGGGCTGGCGCCTATGGATCCCAGCAAAAAGCGACTGTGTTGGTGGATCCAAGGAGCATTCCACCCAGCTGGGATCACCCAAGAAAGAGTTAGTGGAAATGTGTAAGGCCTCAAAGAGATCTTAGGGCTACCAGTACAGCACAAGGGTGTGACCAGTGGCTAAATTCACCAAATGAGAATTCGCCCTGATTTTTTTTCCTGCAATACTCACCACCTGTCAAAAACTGTCGGCCAAAATGTCCAAAAGAATACGGTACTTAGATCCCCTGCCTACTGCGATTGATTTGGCGCATCTGTCTTCTCTAATGTGTTTCCTCTTTCTTCAATCCATTGATACTCTATAATAGACTCTATAATTTCACTAATCCCTCAGCCGATAGATTTATGTCCAATTCAATGTCTCCATTGTTTTCTAAAAAACAAATTAACTACCAAAAACCTATTGCTCATGCTGAATTGTTGTTGGGAATCCCTCATGAAGAGATGTTGTCTTGGTGATCCCTCCAAGACAGCGCATGAATTGCGGAGTGGTTCCACATGAATTTGGTTCCTGACCGCCACCGGGTGGGGATGGGAGTCTTTAATTGTGCCTCTTTCCAGCCTCAAATTTGTGACATGACCCACTGAAAAGTAGGAGATATCTTCCCAACCTACTGAAAGTGCAAACATATGAAAACACACATCCAAACTGCCAACCGGAATCCCCAAAAGTCAAAAAAAGACAATCCTATGCAATCCTTCCACATTGAAAACAAGAACCGACCCCCCGCTTGCCCAAAACGACGAACAACTGGCATCATCCCTTCCCAGATGTTCTTCGCTCCGAAAGAAGTCTCCACACCTGGTGAGATCATCGGATTCCATGGGATGGTGCAGAGGTTCCGCGGAAAGGAGCTCTTGTTGTAGGAGGCCCGCGGCGCCTCGCAGAGAAAAGAGACCGTTGGGCAAGGGCATAGGACAAGGTCCCGCTCACGGGGAACAAGCGCCCCGGAATAAGCGCCCCTCTCGTGAAAGGGCAAAATGGGTTTCATACAATGACAAAAACACAGTTTTTCATATTGCGAGTATATAGATCGATACAATGCCCAATCCCACGTTCACAGCCCAAATTGGAAATGGGCCTCCCGATCACGCGAGCCGGGGAGGGTTCGCGCGCGAATGTTTGTTCGCCTGGAAGATGATGGGGTTGAACATTGCTCTGTCAATGTCCCACCTGCGGTTTTGCCGGTCTAATCGAGGGGCCATTGATGCGACGAGGACCGTGCGGAAAGAGGAGAGTGGGGAATGGTAAGTGAATCACATGACGCCGGAAAAAAAAAAAAAAAAACAACATTACACGGGAAATATGCGGTAAAATCATGACTCATCATCATTACTCAAGAAGTAGGAATCTGCGAATCAAGGAACGCATCCTGAACCAGGTGGCAAACCCATCACACGGATAAAGAAATGCTTTAAACAAAGAAACACACACACACCAAAAAAAAATCAAAACTAACACACTCTTTTGGGCCTCTTCTGCGGCAAAACCATGCTTTAATGTAACAATTCCTCACCCCGCCTGCAGGCACGCGGGCGGCCAATGTCCTTGACTTTTTCGTCTAGGTTTGGCACGGTTCGTCCATCGGGCCATGTTTGGAGCCCCTGCTGGAAACGACTGCGGAAGAATTCATCTCAAGACAAGAGGGTCGTAGGAGTGGTTCCTTTGGTCGCTGGGTTGTTTATTCAAGTGTTCTGCAACTGGAGTCTTCGGAGGTTCAACGGCTGGCCGAATTCTGGTGTTCATCGCCCTTTGAATCAACATAACTCCTGACCGCAAGCAGAATTGGCATACTCTCCACCCACCCCTCACCACAAAAGAAAATCCACTCCGACTCATTCACATGGAAGTGGAGTTCACCCGCAATTTGTAAAGGAAAGTCCTCAGGGCGTCCTCTTCCTTTTGGGACGCCCTCCACGTGGAACGGATGTGTTGAGCGAACGGCGACTTCCCGCGGGATCTCTCCGAAGCGGAGCCGGATCGTGCCTCCCCATCGGCCTCTGGACTCGGGGAGTCATTGCCTGGTGCGACTGGTGGAGGAGAATGGAGGATCATGAACATCCTGCAATTGAAAAACAAACACAAATCATTCGTAATCATTCGTTCCATTCGTACCCTGAACAGCACAGCATTAAAGAACTACGCATGCCGAAGTCCCTGCCGTTCGGTGGAAAACACACACACACACACCAAGTGAGTGTGTGTGCGTGGATCTGTTTTTAGAGCTCAAGATCATATAACCAGGTTTGATGTGGCTTGATTGTATTTGCTTGTTAGCCACCAGCTAATATCCCTGCGTGTGTCAAATGACAAAAATTGACACATGCGAAAGATGTTCAGCAACCCTTGGAGCCTTGTGGTCATCGATGTCTGTAGTTCAAGGATTTTGTGGTTTGCACGCGAATGAATCTCCAGCTTCTGCGAAACAATGCTGATGTAAGGTGTGTTCCTTGAAAACACAAAAACGGCAACTGCTGGAATGGGTTGCTGTTCAGGGTTTGAAGGCCAAAATGCATATGATTGCCAGCTTGCGGTGCTGATGTGGCCCTTGAAAAGGCAAAGAATAAGGTGCGCACTTTTCAGAGGCTTTGCAAAAGCTCCACGGCAGTCAAACCTGAACCACCCTTTGGCAAGCAAGCAAAGACCAGACACTAGCCAGCCATGCCGAATCATAGAACTTGTTGCCTCTATTAAGCGGTGTTTTCAATGCTCTCCCTTCCACAGTCCAAGATAATGTTGAACGAGGGACCTTGTGGTCGAAGTGCTATTTGTCAAAGCATCCACGCTTTTCATTTGTCCGCGGTGCTCGAGCTTCGCAATGTTGCTTGTGAATGTGGTTCAAACTTGGCAGAGACTTGGAATAAGTTAATTATAGTTTATTGATTTATTGATGTTCGTTCTGCAGGCAAGCCTCTTTGAAAGCAGGAGAGCAAGTGTTTTTGCTAAAGGCAGCGCTGCCGGGCTAGGCTCTTGTGCATACTGTGATGTCAGTCAACAACACGGGTTCCACTCATAAGCATTGGCATTATCCGTGCACATAGACTACATGATCTCTTCAACAAATCCAAGCTGGGGAATCCGCTTCTGGCCGCAGCGACGCTGACATGCATGGTAAAATAACATCTTATAACAATACTCAACAATTAAAAAAGGCAGCGACACACACCATATTAGTACTAATTACGTACTATTATTGCTATACTGAAGTATAACATTGCTAAATCTCCGTGGTGGATGGCTGTGTGCTGTTCATTGCTGCGAAACCCAATGCAATTTCAACCAC